GCGTGCAACGGAATCAGCTGGAGCTGAGTAGTGCCCACCACGTTGTTTGGGGCCTGTGTCTCCCTGCCACACTCCTCTCCTCCTGCTCTTCCTTACACCTTTTCCATTTCACTCATTTACATTCCCAGGCTGTCCCCTGTAGGACATTAACTACTGATCTCTTATAATAATAAAGCTCTACTTCTTAATTTGAATTAGCCTGAGTAAAATTCTGTTCCTTGCAGTGAAAACAGGCTTGATGAGAGCTCTGTGGCCAACACATTCTTGGCAGGCTCCTCTCAACCATCACCCATCCAACAGCCATCACCATCCCTCTTCCATGCTAACAGAATCCCAATTTTGTGTTCAAGAGACTGTGGTATCCCTTGGTGCTAGGGATGATTCATGCTGGGATGGGCATGTGACCCAGGTCTAACCGTGAGAAGCAATGATAAATCTAATGGAGGACTTCCCTTACCAACCCAAAACAACAGGTTCTTGTGAAAGAAAACTTTTTGTGACTGCTCTTTTCCCATTCTACTTCCTTTAAAAAGTAATATGATGTCTGGCACCTCAGCAGCCATCTTGTGAACATGAGGTTTCAAGCATAGGGTCAAATGGCCAACATGCAGAGGATGATGGAGAAGAAAGACAAGGAGAAGCTGGGTCCTTGGTGATGCTGATGAGATGCTAAAGCTTCCCTGGACTCCGCCTGACTTTGGGCTTGTTGTTAAGTGAACAATTACTATTCCAGTGGTGTAAGCCACTATTGAATGGGTTTACTGCTGATTGCAGTTGAAGGTACCTCAGTCCTTTGATGTCTATTAGTAATAACCAGAGGAGACTCTTGATATCATCGTTCAAGGCTTTCTGTTGCTTAATATTATTAAAAAATAATGAATATCCATACTCATTTCAAAGTTGATCCCTAAGATACTCTTTCATCTCTGCCAACACTACCAGGTTCATTTATGTGTTTTTGAGACTACCTGAAGTAAGAAAAAGAAAGTAATATATGACCCTTTCTACACTGAACATTTTTTGCTGTTTTCTGATATCTTTCCTAACACTCAGAGAAACAGGTGACATTTCCATTAATGGAAACAGAAGCTTCCTGAACAGGATTGTTCAAAATTAGACACGTGTCTTCAGTTAAAGGCCCTGTGCATTTCAGAGGCTTGGGCAACTTTTGCGGCAGCTCCCATATCATTAGATAATACCGATTTTTTTTGAAAAGGGCAGGCTATTTAGAAGGCAAAGAGTTTTTAACTTCATTTTCTCAAGTNAATATTATTAAAAAATAATGAATATCCATACTCATTTCAAAGTTGATCCCTAAGATACTCTTTCATCTTTGCCAACACCACCAGGTTCATTTATGTGTTTTTGAGACTACCTGAAGTAAGAAAAAGAAAGTAATATATGACCCTTTCTACACTGAACATTTTTTGCTGTTTTCTGATATCTTTCCTAACACTCAGAGAAACAGGTGACATTTCCATTAATGGAAACAGAAGCTTCCTGAACAGGATTGTTCGAAATTAGACACGTGTCTTCAGTTAAAGGCCCTGTGCATTTCAGAGGCTTGGGCAACTTTTGCGGCAGCTCCCATATCATTAGATAATACCGAATTTTTTTGAAAAGGGCAGGCTATTTAGAAGGCAAAGAGTTTTTAACTTCATTTTCTCAAGTACAGAAAGCCCTCAACTGTGAGCCTCTTTACCCCAGTCCCTGGAAAACACTCCTGTCCACCAAGCAGTCCTTCCCCGCCCAGCCCCCAGCTCCACTGGGTTGTTTGAGGGTGAAGGAGGAGACATGATCATCCAACAGCATCTGACCAGCTGGAAGGTAAACAAGACAAGCAAAAGTTCTATGTTACCCAGGAGAGCTCAGCTGCCTAGAAATAATTAGAGCTACAGCCACTTTTGAAATGAAGAAAATGTGGAGCTGGTGACAGATCTGCCAAGCTGCTGCCTCTGACTGCCTGGGCCAAGCTGCCCATACTTCAGGGACACAGGATGGTTTGCAGTTGACCCAGAACTTGAGCCTGAAGAAGTCATCCACTGTGACCTCCACACCATTAGAAGAAAGAGTTGTCTACCACAAACTCAGAGTCGCAATGTTGGCAGTCAACTGGGCAACCTTTCCCCCTTCTTGGAAGAGAGATTGTCATTTTTAAAGCACCTAGATGATCTTGGATGGACAAAGCTAGCAGGACCATTGGGCAGAACTGTCACCAGGACATTATGACAAATGAACAGACTTAGACCCTTGCAATGTCTGTCCTGTCATTTTTAAAGCACCTAGATGATCTTGGATGGACAAAGCTAGCAGGACCATTAGGCAGAACTGTCACCAGGACATTATGACAAATGAACAGACTTAGACCCTTGCAATGTCTGTCACTGACACGTTTTAATAAGAGATGAACACACACATCTGGCCTCCTTGCAATGTTTACCTCAAGCTGAGGATTGGTCTTCTCTGGCCTTTGGTGGGATCTGGCAGCTTCCTCCTGCCTTCTCTAGGTCTCTGGCCTTCACCATGGGCAAAAGGCTTGTGTAAACCAAATCCTGGAAGTGGATGTAGTCTGCTGAGACGCAGCTCCAGCCCTTCCTTCCTCCTAAGGCCAACCCCAAACCCCACTGGCCTCCCCCTCCTCCTTTGAAAGTGTACACATTCCACACATCTGCCCCCCTCCCCGCCGACTCCATGGCATCCCTGCTGCAGGCGCCGTCACTGGAACCCCAGGGCTGCCTTTGTGTAAAGACCAGGCTAACCCTTGACAGAGGGGCAGCTTTGCATCAGGGATTCCTGGTCCCTGACCCCTATGAGGGTGGGAGTGGAGGCTGGGGAGGTGGTGGTGTAGGATTCTTCCAGTTTCTAACCCATTCCACCATCTAACTGTGCACAAGATCCAAAGCCCTGACACATAAGTAAACGGTTTTCTTTCCCCAAGTCATCATTCAGCCTGACCAAGGAGGGGGCCAGAAAAGAAGTCCCTGCGTAGCCCTTGCTGCTTCAGAAGGGGAGCCCCCTGCTTTGGCTTTGGGCTCCATCTTCACCTCCTTTGGTCTCAGTCCCGTTTCCGGGAGTGGGAGTGGGGTAACAGCTTTCTGAGGTTGTCATCTGGTGCAAGCCCAGCTGACCCTGGGGACACATTTGGATCCCCGGAGCAGGGACAGCAACCCCAGAGAGGGCCAGGTGGGGGCATGTGGCTCAAGCTCAAATACATGTCCATCTGCCAGAGTCTCCCCCAGTCAGGCCCTGGGGAGGAAAACAGAGGGGCCCCTGCCGAGGAAAGGAGTGTTTCTCTGACTCAAGAAAAAACTGCTCAGGCCACACTTGGTCACCTGCAATTTCCAAGAAGAAAGCCTGGGGCCGGGGTGTAGGTGAAACCTATAGAACAGGTCCAGTTGGTGGATGGCAGGTGTCTCATGTGTGTGGGCCTGGACTGTATCTACAGAGATCTTTTGGTTGTTGTTCACTGAGGGTGTGACAGGGTAACTCTGGATGGCGTCTGGTTGGCTGCTGGCATCACTGGACCCTCCTAATGTGGTAGTTTTCTCATGCAGATCCAGAGGTTATTAACAAACCTTCCCCCACACATACCAAGAACCCCCCAGAGCAAACACCTCCCCATCCCGGAGTGGATCTCAATGAATACAAGCAAACAGAGTCAAGACACAAAACCCTGTCAGTCCAGTTCATACTCTTGGGCGAGTTCTTGATGTCGGCAGTGACGATCGGTGTCCCAGCCAGGCTCCGCCAGCTCCCTGTGCTCTACAGCCTCAAAGACCAGTTCAGCCCCACTCTGGTCACTATTCTTGAGAGCCAGAGTTCGATCTGGTGACGCCTGGGCCATGCATCCCTCGGCCGACCATCTCTTGGCCCCACTCCCGGTGGCTGGACTCCTGCAGTCCTCGGCCTTTGGTCTCAATGGGCAAAAAGTAGGAGGCCACGGCAGCCAGGAGGCAGCAGCCACTGTAAACTGCCAGGGTCAGGTACACAGAGGATTCCAGCATCACCTAGGGAGGGAGTCACAAGACGGTGACAGCATCCCTTCTGAAGCCCAGACACCACCAACCATGAAACAATATTGTTAACACCAGGCCCCCTTGTAAGCACTCCATGTGACAGCTCTGTGAGCTATGTACTTCACTCCCATTTGACAGAGGGGAAAACTGAGGCTCAAAGAGGCATACCCAAATTCATACAGATAATAAGGATGGGCTGGGACTTGAACTCAGGCCCATCAAGCTCAAGAGTCTGGACTCCTTATAACTACGCACTCTCCCAGAGCAATGCCTATGACGACTTCCTAGCTTTATGGCATGTGGCAAACCACATGGCAAAGCTGAATCCCATTTCTTCAGCTGCCAGATGGGCATAAGGGCAGTGTCACTTCCTAATGGAGGCGACCTGGGGAACACCTGGCACCTTGTAGGCAAACGCAAGCTCCCAACCAACACCAGTTAGGAATGACATACAATGGCTAAAAACAACAGTGCAAAACAGAAATACTTGGGTAAAACGTGTATTTGAATTCTATTTATTGGAATATCCAGAATTGGCAAATCCACAGAGACAGAAAGTGTGGTTGGTTGGCAGGGGCTGAGGGGAGGGGAGAGCGGGGAGTGGCTGCTGAATGACACAGAGTTTTAATTTAGGGTGGTGAAGATGTTTTGGACCTACTGGAATATCCAGAATTGGCAAATCCACAGAGACAGAAAGTGTGGTTGGTTGGCAGGGGCTGAGGGGAGGGGAGAGTGGGGAGTGGCTGCTGAATGACACAGAGTTTTAATTTAGGGTGGTGAAGATGTTTTGGACCTAGATAGAGGTGGTTGCATGATATTGAGAATGTGCTAAATACCACTCAATTGTTCACTTTAAAATAGTTAATTTCATGTTATGTGACTTTCACCTCAATACAAAAATGATAAAAACAGAAAAAAATAATTGGATATTCGAAAAGCAAAAAGACTTAATAAGATCCATAAAAATGGATAGAAATGCTTCAAGATACAAGAAAAGTTGCAAAATTTTGCAACTACACTTAATTATCCAACACAAAAAGCAGGGACTGGGACATTTGTGTTTCCATTAAATCATATTAGCCTGCAAAACAAGCAGATCACTTTTAGCCAAATCATCGGGCACTCCCAGGGTGTACACAGGAAAGAACTGGGTTTGGTTCCTGGCTTGTCTCCTTCTCTGCTGTGTGACCTGGGCAAGTCCCTTTACTTTCTGAGCCTCAGTTTCCTCATCTGCAAGCAATTTCTTCTCTTATTGGGTGGGTTGTTAGGATAAAACAAGATAATGCACATGGAGGGCTCGCAGAAGGCTCAGCATATGGTAACTGCTGGCTGTGCACTGGGTTTTGTCACCCGCACCCCCTCTGTATTTGGGGTGACACCTACCTGGGCAATGAACGGAGTGATGAGAGCACCCACTCTTGCCATGCCACTGCAGGTACCCAGGCCCAGAGCCCGCGTTGCCGTGGGGTAGACCTGAAACACAGTGGCCAGATGTGAGCTCGGGAAAATCAGGTCCCTCCTCTTCTCCAGCTCAGGACCAAATCCCTCAGGTGTTGGTGACCCTATTAAGGGATGGGAGACTGGGCTGGGGCAGATTCTCATCCCAAAGGGGACAGGAAGTTCAACTGAGAAAGAGGACATGAGGCTGAGCTGTGGGTGGGAACCCAGTGAGGGGGTCCTCCCTGGCCTGGGGGCTGTCCTGCAAGATTCCTCCACTAGGAACTGCTGCACGTTCTGGACCCAGATATTGCTCTTGCATCCACTTTTCACCAGTTCACCTTGAAGCACCGGGCTTTCAAGGAATTTCATAAAGACAGGCATTGAAATGGCTACAATTTCTCAGTTTGTATCCAGTAGGGACCACATGCCTAGTTCTTCCCTAGGCAAAGTGAGAAGAGATTGTGCATTTTGCAGGCCAAGGTAATTAAGAAGGGGGCCTGTTTTCTCCACTCCCTTTCCTTGTCTGCTGGAAGGAGGACTCTGTGGCCCTAAGGCAGGTTTGGGGATGGGTCATTCTTTGTCATGGGAGCTGTCCTGTGCATTGTAGTATGTTTAGCAGCATCCCTGACTTCTACCCATTAGATGCCAGTAGCACTTCTGCTCCCCCACCCCCACCCCATTATGACAACACAATGTATGTCCAGACATTGCCAAATGTCCCCTGAGGCAAATTCACCACATGAGGGAGGCATGAGATACAGGAACCGGGATCCCTGAATCTCTCTGGGGAGGAAAGCTGTTCCCCAACCTAGAACACCCATCTTGGACTGTTTCATAAGAGGGAAATTTCCATTGTGTCAAAACACTCCATTTTGGGAGTTATTTGTTCTAACAGTTAGCGTGTCTCTAACAAATACCATGCTCAGTGCAGAAAGCTTGAAAAGAATGAACATAAAGGGGAAAAAATAAAACTCAGTCATGATCCCAGCACTCAGACATTTGTCACATTTTCATGTATATCTTTTCTATGATTGTATATACATATATATTCATTAATTTATCAAATGCTTATTGAGTACATACCATATGCATTTATATATTGTGATATTTTAATCCACTCAATTACATAATATATAAATATATTCTTCTTGTAAAAAATCAAAATGTTTCAATTCTCTCTTGATCCACTCCCTTTGCCAAGAAAATTTTTCCCATAGAACCCCACTGTTATGAAGTGTGGAATGTATCCTCCCAGATATGTTAAAAATGTACATATAGAAAATATACAGCATTGTTTTTTAAATATAAATGGTGTAATGCCATATATATCAATCCACAGTTTGCTTTTTCCATTCAGCCATGTCTTCAAATCCTATCTACATTAATATACAGACGTCTACCTCAGTCTTTTCAAGTGCAACAATTGTATTCCACAATGGATATAGTCTACAGTTTACAATTCAATAGGGATTGATGGACACTATGTTATGTGTGTGTGTTACATATATAATACATATAATATAATATAATGTAATGTAATGTAATACATAATTGCCTAGCATATGGTTGGCACTCAATATAACTTTTTTAAATGAATAAGTGAATTAGTACGATAATCTTGTTTCTGTTTTTCTATTATGGAGAATTTCAAACATAGACTAAAGTGGAATGGTAGAATGAATTCTCTAGTACCAAGCACTGTGGACTGTGATTGTTTTAGTGACACCTCTCTCTCCTTCCTCCCTTCCTGAATTACACTGAAGCAAATCCCAGAAGGGTTGTCATTTCATTAACTAGATACTTCTGGACATGCTGCTTTGAAGAATTTCCTTTTAGGAAAAGATTGTGGACATTTCTCATGTTCATATTTGGTCTGCTACAATAGTATGATTTTTAATGGCTGCACAGAATCCTATCAGTTGGATGAATAACCATTTATTTAACCAATTCTTCATGGTTACAAGTAGCTAGCTGGATTAGTTTAAGCCAAGGCTCAGCAAACTTTTATTAAATGACCAGAGACTAAATATTTTGGGCTTGGTGGAGCCATACGGTCTCTGGTAACTGCTCAACTCTGACAATGTAACACAAAAGCAGCCGTAGACAATAACAGTAAATGAAAGGCTGTGGTGTGTTTTAATAAAACTTTATTAATAAACACTGAAATTTGAATTTCACCTGAGCCCTTCAACTAAAAACCACACACAACTCTCTCCTGAGACCCTGTAACAGCCCCTTCCTTCACCACATCGACCTTGGATGGTAGTGGTTCCACCAGCCCCCTCCACCCATGGTGAGCCCTGGGGCACTGCTCCATTGACTTGCTGGTTTCCCTAAACCTGCCCCATAGCTCTGTAATGAGCCCCTCTTTTAAACTCTTCTCAATTAAACAGTTACCCAATTTGACTGATACATGCACCAACATATATATACTTAGAAAAGATTCTGGACAAATATTCACTGAACTATTCAAGAAGGTCATGTCTAGGAAGGGAGAATGTGGGGCCTTTTCATTTTTGGTTTTATACAGTTATGCAACATTTGGAATTTTGACATGAGCATAAGCTTTTATAAGCAGAAATAATAATTTTTAAAAAGCTGAAATAATGAAGGACTTCGCAGTCACCACTCAGACCAAGGACAAATTTCATTCCAAGCAGCCCACGCTGGGTGTTTCTGGAGGCAAAGCATCCCCCCTCCCTGCCCTGGTTGTTCCCAGACACCCCTCCTACCTCAGGTGTGTAAACATAGGCTGCTTGGAAGCCTCCAGAAATAAACGCTCTTGCAATGAAGAGTAGCAGAGTGAGGACATTTCTAAGGAAGGGGGAAAAAGCAGATGAGCAGGTATTATTTTCTATCTGCTTGTTTTAGCAAAGTCCTGTCTTCCCAGGCAGAATTTACACCCGGGAATTGGCAAAGGCCACCCTGACCAACACACATTCATGCAGACTTATGGTGATCACATCCCATTACCATCTCTAAAGGCCAGTTTTTATGAGTATATCTTTCTCCAAAGCTCCAGGGTAAGAGATGGGAACACGTGTGGTGCCCAGATTTGGGGCAAGACAGGGCAGAAATGGTATACAGAATCAAATCCCAGACAAGAACTTGTGCGGGTAGAAATTGATCTAGGAGCCAGCTGAGGTAGGGAAAATCAACGACTATTCAGTACTTTCAGGATAATCCTGATCCTTAACCCTCTTTTCCATTGATCTCATAAATACCCCGGAATATCAGCATTTCAGGGTCTAAGCTTAGAAATTGATCTAGGAGCCAGCTGAGGTAGGGAAAATCAACGACTATTCAGTACTTTCAGGATAATCCTGATCCCTAACCCTCTTTTCCATTGATCTCATAAATACCCCGGAATATCAGCATTTCAGGGTCTAAGCTACATCTCCCCACCTTCCTCAGACCAAGATGTGGCCCACAAATTCCTCAACAGGTTTGGTCTGGGGCCTCTAGAAGGTCAAGAGAGGCACTGGCCCTTTCTATATTTTGAGGCTCTCGGTAGATGGAAGAATGGAGAAATGACAAAACAGTTTACAAAACAGGGTCTGTTTGGAATATTTCCATTGAACAAATTAATACTTTTAATACACTCATAAATCAAGCAGTTATTGGGAGACAATGTCAAAAGTATAAATTTAATGTTATTAGAGTGAAACCAGGGCCAAAATGTCCTCCCGCCCCTATCCCATCAGAGACCCCAACCTTGAAGCTGTTCTTTGGGGCATTGTGAGACAGCTATGAGCCTCAGTCCTAGCGAGGGGATGGGCAGGATCCCTAGATAACCCACCTTCCAACACAGATGAACAGCAGAAGGCTGCAGAAGGAGAAGATGATGAAGCACAGGGCCATGGTCTTCTTGCGACCCAGGCGGTCAATAATCCACAGTGTCACAAGGACACCTGCAAGGGGAGCAGCGGAATGATAGGCAGCTTCTGATGTGGTTCCCAGTGACCCTCACCCTGGTATGCACAACTTGTATCATCCCTCCCCTTGAGAGTGGGCTAGACCTAGTGACTCACTTCTGATGCCTAGAAGACAGTAAAAGTGATAGGATGTCACTCCTGATATTAGGTTCTAAAAGACTGTGACATCTGTCTTGCCAGCACTCTCTCTCTCCCTGGCTCTTCTCATGAGCTTGCCTTGATGGAGAAGGTCACTTGTAACTGCAGGTGGCTTCTGGCCAATAGCCAGTGAGGAACTGAGCCCTTGGTCCAACCTCCCTGAGGAACTGAATCTTGCCACAGCCATGTGAGTGAGTGTGGAAGTGGATTCTGCCCCGGTTGAGCTTTCAGTTGAGACCACAGACACTGGGCCAACAGCTCAATTGCAGCTGTGTGAAATATAATGAAGCAGAGGACCCAGGGAAGCCACTCCAAGATTCCTGACCCACAGCAACTGTGAGGTAATGTGTGTTGTTTTAAGCCACTAAATTTTGGGATGATTTGTTACATGGCAATATATAACTAATACAGGCACCAAGGGGAGCCTGGATGGTACTATTCACTGAATCCAGGCAGCAGAATGCCAGGGCTGAGAGTCGGAAGCACCTGTTCTAAGGCCTCATCTTGCCTCTATCTTGCCATGTGGTATTGGGCTAGTCCCTTGCTTTCTCTGAGCCTCAGTTTCTTCATCTGTTAAATGGGACTTAAAAGACAACAACACTCCCTACCTCAGTAAAGGCAATATAGCATAGTGATGATTATTACCACTAATAATTAAATTTGGGCTAAGCACTTTTACATCTATTATCTTGTTTAATCATCAAAACAACCCTTTAAGATAAATGCTATTATTGGTCCCATTTTCCACATTTATTCAGTCAATAAATTAAGTGCCTCCTGTGTATCAGGAACTGTTCAAGGAGATTGGGATGTGTCAGTGCACAAAAACAAATAAAACAATAAATGTAATAAAGAAGAAAAGAAGAATCTGAGTTCCAGAGAGGTAAAATCACAGAAATGGAGGGCTGGCCCTGTGGCTCACTCAGGGAGTGCGGCGCTGGGAGTGCCAAGGCCACGGGTTCGGATCCTATATGGGGATGGCTGGTGCGCTCACTGGCTGAGCGTGGTGCAGACCGCACCGTGCCGAGGGTTGCATCCCCTGACCAGTCCCCCCCCCCCAAAAAAAAATCACAGAAATGGAGGGCCGGCCCTGTGGCTCACTCAGGGAGTGCGGCGCTGGGAGTGCCAAGGCCACGGGTTCGGATCCTATATGGGGATGGCTGGTGCGCTCACTGGCTGAGCGTGGTGCAGACCGCACCGTGCCGAGGGTTGCATCCCCTTACCAGTCCCCCCCCCCAAAAAAAAATCACAGAAATGGAGCGTGCTTAAATTTTCAGAAATGTTACGTGCTTCAAGCCACAGAAATGCAGGTTGGCAACGCTGAGTTTAACTTCTGAGCCTTTACTCTTATCTATGAAGCTATATGGGGAAAGGGTTTTAGAAGAAAGACAGACAGTATAGTACAGGGTTGAAGACTCTGGGCTCTAGGATGAGACAATAGTTCTTAGCTTGGCCAGCTGTAGGACAGTCCATGTCTTAACTGGGTTTTCCCAGAAGCAGACCCTGGGACAGAGACACAAGAGCAAGCTGTTGAGGTGGGAAATAATCCAAGCAAGCACCAGTAGGAGAGTGGAGAAGTAGGACAGGGAAGGGAAGGCAGCTAATAAAAGGGGACATCAAACAAGTTACCACTGTGGGCAACTGGAGCTGAATTCCACCAGGGGCTCTGGGAGCCAGTGTAGAACATGCACCTTAGAGTTTTCCTGCCTGATGCGCAAGGAAGCTGGGGTGTTTATACACCAACTCCTGCAATTATTGTTTGAAGGCTGTTCCTAGGCATTAACTCCCTGGCACCTCTGGCTACCTTGCTTGCTTTCAGATAGAGGCTTTTCATTCCTTCTGAGGTAGTCCTCAAGCACAGCAATGCAGAAGCTGGCAGTTGCAAGTTGCAGGAACAGTTTCTGCTACACTAGGCAAGTTATGTCACCTCTCTGAGCCTCAGCTTCTTCAGTTGTAAAATGGCAATAATTATACAACTTCACAAGATCAAATGAGACCATATCTGTAAAATATTTGGCACAGTCTCTGGTGTACAGTAAGTATTCAACAAGTACTAGATGTTATCATTATAATAATTATTCCTTCTAAAGGAAAAAAGTTCAACTTTGCATCATGTGCGGGTTTGGATTTTTGACACCCCACTGATCTTTTTCAGTATGTCTAGTGTTGGGGGACAGTTTTCTGTGGGTCTTTTATATTTCTGCACATCTTGTGAGCAGAGGCACCAGGTGCCCTTCTGTTCCAGACTATCATTTCAAAACTGTTTGTATAGCAAACAGTTTTGGAAAATAGAGATACTGTCTCCCTCTGGAGCAAAGGGCAGATTTGTTGACTGAGTAATGAATAAAGAGGATATCTTTCTTTGGGTTAAAGGTTAGGCAGGTTTCTGGCAGCCCGTTATAATAGATTTGAGCTCCCTAAGCTTGGAGTTCCTCAGCTGTGTTGCAAATCTACTGTATGTGTAGCATCCACCTGGGTTGTTCCTCTTCATCCCTGTGGGACTTGGGGACAAGGGGAACTACACCTGTATACTACTCATGCTGCTTGCAATAATAGTCTTTTGTCTCTGACCCAGGAATCTCATGTCTTCTGTAAGCATGTATGAAAGCCGGCAGCTTAACTTGTTAACCTTCACATAGGGTGAAATCTTAGCCCCTACATAGTTCTTGACCACTTGTAGCTAAGGACTGGAAAAAAAAATCCCTGGCTGACCTAGAAATGAAGTTTGCTTCCAGGTGGCACAGATAGAGCTACCAGCTGAACAGCTGCCACATTCTCAGGCTTGCCTGCTCCAGTCTCACCTTGCACAGGTTCCTCACCTGGGAACTCAGAGAGGGTGGTCCACAGCAGGTCCATGTAATCTTCCTCGCTCAGGTACTCACAGGCCAGGCTGCATTTTGCCTCTACTGCCTTTTTCCGGCTGGAGACTGGGGATGAGATAGAGGTAGATAGAGAGATAGTGAGATGGAGAGATGTGTGTGTGTGTGTGTGTGTGAGAGAGAGAGAGAGAGACAGAGAGAGACAGAGAGAGACAGAGAGAGAGAGAGAGAGAGGAAAAGCCATGTACATAGTCTTGAATCAAACCTCCCTGCTCCCCACACTTCCTCCCCTAGGTATCACTCAGCTGGGGTGCCATAGAAATTGCCCAGGCTCAGAAGACAGACAAACTCAGGTTTGAATCCCATCTAGCAGTGCTACAGCTTCATCTCTGAGCCTCAGTGTCCTGATAAAACTGGGGCTAATGAAACCACCATGCAAGGTGGTTGAGAGAATGAAAATAGATTGTGCATATGAATGTACTTAGCCCAGAATTGGCACATAGGAGGTGCTTTTGTGGGAGACAGACTCTAGGGTGGCCCCCTACAGCAAGGAATTGAGGGATGACTTTAGCCGCTGATGGCATTATCCAGCTGACGAGAATCTGAAACTCTCGGTCCTACAACCCCAGGAATTGAATGCTGCCAACTGCCCACATGAGTGGGGCAATGGATCCTCCTGCAGTCAGTCAAGCCTCTAGGTGAGAATCCAGTCCTGGCTAATGCCTCTATTACATCCTTACAAAGTACCAGGCTTCTGACCCACAGAAACTATGAGGTAATAAATGTGCGTTGTCTCAGGCTACTGAGTTTGTGGTAATGTTGTTACGCAGCAATCTCCTATTCATATTCCTCACCCCCCTTTTTATTGAAAGTGAATCAGAGCGCAACCCAGTGGCCAAAGGAATGATGGCAATAAGAGTCTCACCCCCTGGTCCAGGCTGAGTTAATAATGAAGGGTGAATGCTACACTGCTCTCCTCCAGACTTTGCTTTACTCTCCAACTATAGGACTGGTCTCCTAAAGATAGAGGGGTAATATCTGAGACTGTCATTTAACAGATAAGACTCCGAGAGGGTGGCTACCCCCCAAACCTGCTGCCCATAGCTTCCCTAGCTCAGTTGGTAGCATCTCCATCCTTCCAGTTGCTCAGGTGAAAAGCCCTGGAGGCATTCTTGGCTCCTCTCTTTCTATTATACTCCATGGCCAATCCATCAGCAAATCTTGTCTGCTCAACCTTCAAAATGTACTAGAATGTGACTGGCCATGTCTCACCACTTCCGCTACTACCATCTTGGTCTGAGCCATCGTCATCTCTCACCTGAACTTCCACAATTGCCATTCACCCAGTCTACCTGCTTCCATACTGTGCCCACTCCCCCCACCCTACACCACCGTAGTCTATTTCTAACACCTCAGTCAAAGGAATCCTTTTAAAACCTAAGTCAGACCACTGTCACTCTTCTGCTTAAAACTCTGCAGTGACCTCCCATGTCACTCAGAGTAAAAGCCAAAGTCCTTAAAAAGCCTCCAAGGCTCTGTGTTATCTGGCACAAAACACATCCTTGGTCCCACCTGTTACTTCTTTCTCTGTTGCCCTGCTCCCTCTACCCCAGCCCCACTGGTCTTCTTGCTGTTCTTTCATCAAGTAAGGCACTCTCCTGCCTCAGAACCTTCGCACTGGCTGCCCCTTCTTTCTGGATTGTACTTTATACATCCCCATGACTAATTTCCTCATCTCCTTCAAGCCTTTCTTTAAATCTCACCTTCTCATCGAGGCCACCCTGACCGCCCTATTGAAAACTTCAACCTACCCACTTCCCCGTGCCCTGCCCTACACTCCTGATCTTCCTTACCTTGCTCTACTGTGGTGGTTTTTCCATATCACTTGTAGGGAAATATAGCAGGAAAGACTGAAATGGGCAAAAATGTCCTCCAGTGCACCCTAAATGGTTATCCCTGCCTTTCATTGTTTTTAAGCTATTTTACAACTCTGCAAGTTGTAGAAAAACTGATAGTAATGCAAATTATTTTTTCCATATAAATGCAAATTGTGTCTGGTGGTGATACAGTTGATTTCTCTATGCATATTGATAAGTTTTGTCTCTAACTGTAAATCCATTTCAGCATTTCTGATGGCCTCTATATGGATGTGTTTTGACTTCTCCTTTGAACTAGTTGTATCACCTCTTACTGGTGTTAGTAGACAATTCTCTGTGGGTCATTCACATTTCTGCATATTCTACGAGCAGAGGCACTGACTGCCTTTTCAAGGATTTTTTTTTTCTAGCAACAGCCATGGAAGATAGAGAGTGTCTCCCTTTGGAACAAAGGGTAGGTTTGCTTACTGTCTGATATAAAAGATCTGGGTTTTCTAACCACAGGGCTCCTCTCTTCTAATACAACACTGCTTTTGCAGGTATCACCTGCCACTCTTCAAATCGCCCTGAGAGAACTGAGGCTCAAGGGACTGGTATTATAACAGCAGGACCCCCATAGTTGATCATATTTGATCATTTTCCCCTAGCGCTGGAGCAGGCCTCAGTCTTGGAGGAAGTTTGCAAGGCAAACTTGCCGGCTGAGTCCCCAGAAATAGAAGTATGCTTTTCTAGCAGAATATAAGATAAGCATAATGGCTAGCGTAGCATGCATTTCTCTGAGTTCCCTCTTTTTCCATGGTTACTTGATATTTTGAAGCTTGTTTATGGGGCAGGATGACATTTTTTACATAAGTATAGAGCTGTTTTTCAGATCCTAAAAAACCAAGGAAGACATTGATAAAGCTATGCTGATTCCATCCCAAAGCAAATCAAAATCCTGCAGGACCCTAAGATAATGTGTAGGATGAGAACAGAAACCAGATGGAGCCTTGGTGAGAATTTGCACTTGGCCCCTACATGTCCCCTCCCTCCTGCTTTTCACTTCCTTCAACCTCCTTCTTAAAAACCCCTTGGTAAATCTGAGCCTTGGAGATGGGTTAGCATACCATCCCCCTTCAGGTTACGGGTCCTGAATAAAGCTGCCTTACCTTTTCACCAACATTTGACTTTTGAGTCATTTGTTTCTATTTGGTGGCAGGCAGCTGGACTTGGGTTCAGTAAGAGTATAAGAAAATGCAGATACCCAGGCTACTACTATTGCTATGAGTAACACAGTCCTTTGTCTCTGACCTGGGAGTGTTGTGTCTTCTGCTAGGATGTGAGGAAAATGAAAAAAAGCTAATTTGTTAGCTGGCAAATAGGTAAAAATTTCAGACTTTCCATAACTCATTAACAACTCATTAATTTATTAATTAATGAGTTAATTACTTGATAAACTCTATGGCATGGGTTCATTTTATATTTCTACAAGAGGCATGATTTTACCTTTCTTTTTTTTTTTTTTTTTTGTTTTTGTTTTACAACTTATTTATAATTTGTCATATCACTTCAATATTTTGTAAAAATAAATCCATGGTTCAAATGGTACCGACAGAGCGCAGCTCCGTCCGCCGCCGCCTTCTCCTTCTCCCCGCCATATTACGGGTCTCAGGCGGCAACGCGGGCTCCTGGCAACCGCCGCCGCCGCCACCTCCCAGACTCCACCTCTCGGGGCCGGTACTTCCGCTGGTCGCTTTCCCGGGCAGTTGCAACGGTTGCACCTCCAGAAAACTACAGTCCCCGAGGTGCATTGCGCTCCCGCTATAGAGGACGTAGTACTTACGGAAGCGCGGTGCACGCTGGGAATGTAGTCTTCACTGCAAGCCAGCAACTGTACAATTATACTTTGTTATAGAACTATGCTTAGGGTGGGTCTCAGGGGGCAACGCGGGCTCCTGGCAACCGCCGCCGCCGCCACCTCCCAGACTCATGATTTTACCTTTCTTTAAAAATTTTCCTTTAACACATCTATCACCTTCTAATGCACTATATAGTTTCTTATTATGCTATTTTCTCTCTCTGTCTTTCTCTCTTTCTCCCTCCCATCCCCCAACCAAAATATAAGCTCACGGGAAAGGGATATTTGTCTTTTGTGGTCATATATCCTAATGGCAAAGACCCTCTTTAACCAAACTTTAGTCAGGCTCCTCTGAGACCTCTTTTTGATGCATCCTCCCTTACCTTTGGGCTCTGTCAAGTTTTAGCAAAACACTGCTGGGTTGGTCTAGGGAAAATGCCCTCCCTTGATAACTGATCAAATTCCTCATCCCCTTCCATCCATAGCTTATCACCCTGGCCTGTGATGGGGTTCAGGACATGCTACCCCAAAATATGACACCTTGACATATTGAACATTTTAAGGTGAAGGAATTTGAGAAACAGCACATGCAGGAAGTTCTCTCTGACCTTCCCCTGCCTTATTCCCCTAAAGCACATCATAAAACCTAGAAAGGATTTTCTGACCTTCCTTTGGACCCTCATGTGAGCGGTGCCCTCCCTATACCCAGGGAAAAAGGAACTTATTTATCTCCAAAGACACAGGGACATAGAATGAACAGGCCTTGCTAACTGCTGTGGGTTGAATGTTTGTCCCCCCAAAGCTCATGTTGGAACTTAACCTTCAATGTTATATTTGAAAGGTACGGTCTTTAAGAGGTGATTGGATGGTGAGGACTTTGCCCTCAAGAATGGATTAATCCATTCATGGATTAATGGTTTAATGGGTTATTAGGGAGTAGACTAGGGGAGGAAAGCATGTGGAAATATTCTTGCTCAACCCTCACTATATGTTACCCCACATTGTCACAGGATTCCATAGAGAGTCCCAACCAAGAAGAAGGCCCTCACCAGGTATGGCCCCTGGACCTTGGACTTCACAACCTCCAAGACTGTAAGAAATAAATTTTGTTTCTTTATACATTATCCATTTCTAGGTATGCTGTTCTAAGCAACAGAAAACGGACTAATACACTAACTTTCCCCCGGTTTATTACCATTAGATCATACTCTTTGTTCTATCATATTTCTCGATGACTCTCAATTCTTCATCAAACCTAGCAATAAAATTACTCAGGTTTAACCATTTCTTCTGGTCTTCATTTCTTTCTGAAGGCTTCTGTGCTATGTAAAACTTAGATTAAATAAATTTGTATGCTTTTCTCTTGTTAATCTGTCTTTTGTTATAGGGGCCTCAGCCCCATGAACCCATAATGGGTAGAAGGAAAGGTATTTTCCTCTCCTACACCTGCCTTCAGCAATAATTCTATCATGCTGAGTTAGCCAGAAACCATCTTATCCTTGATGTTTCCTCTTAGTAATTTTCCATGCACTGAGTGTCCACCCTGCTCCTTAACTATAAATCCTCACTTGTCCTTGCTGAATTCAGAATGGAGCCCAGGCCTATACAAAGGTCTCTCTTCCCCTATTGTAATAGTTCCTGCATAAAATTTGTCTTCACTACTTTAACTTCTGTCTGGCTCTGGTTTTCTTTGACACTAACACCTACACTAGGACCTGGCATGTAGAAAATACTGAATGAGCAGCTCGCCCAAGGTCACACAGCTACTTGGTGCCAGAACCTGGGTCACCTGATTTCCACCTGTGGGCTTCCTCCACAGCATCACTTTTCTGCCCAGGTGTTGGAGAAAGCTTTTTAATAGGGTTAGCAAACTCTGGCCTGTGGGCCATATCCTTTACAAGAAAAGTTTTTACATTTTCAAATGATTTTTTAAAATCAAAACAAGAATTCATGACATAAAAATTATATAAAATTCAAATTTGTGTTCATAAATAAGGTTGTTGGAATAAAAGCAATGCTTGTTTATTTATATATTATCCATAGTTGCTTTCCTGCTGCCAATGGCAAAGTCGTATGGCCCACGAAGTCTAAAATATTTACTATCTGGCCTTTTATGGAAAAAGTTTGCCAACCCCTGCTTTATAATGTTCCCCTGGATCCTCCACTTAGCTTAAGCATGTCCACTATTAGTGGATGCAGTATATGCTCAATCAACACCAAACCCTACAGTCGAATCTACAATTGCGGCTCTTCTGCATAGCATCTAACTTAGACTCTCCTACACCCCACAGTGAGATGTGACCCCCCCACTTTCTCCTTAAATCCTTATACCAATAAACAAACTATGAACTAAGATTACACAGGCTTAATACAAAAAAAGATAATTGGGTAAACCCCGAAGACAAGCAGGAAATTGATTCCTTTATCTCCTATCTTAGGTTCAGTGCTAGGAATCTAGTATTATCTTAAAGGCAGAATGGTTTGAAAGCCCAGACATGTACATATAGACTTTTCTTTTTATTCATTCCTTTCGTTCAGTGGCTCCCATCTTCAACTAAAATAAAATAGAAGCTCACCTGAGGAGCTTTTAGAAAGTGCTAATGCCTGGGAACCACCCCCCAGAGATGCTGAATAAATTGGTCTGGGCATTGTTTAAATGGCACCGGCACTGTTTGAAAGCTTCCCAGGTGATTCTGTTACAGTGGCTAGGGTGGAGATCCAGCCTGGTTCTCAAACTTATGTGCACATTAGAATTGCTGCGCAGGATCATAATCATAAAATTCCAAGTGTTGCAGTTTGTGGGGCTCTTTAGGGGATTTGCAATGATAATTTTATCCTACATGCAATTTTCACCTTAAATGCTGTTAGTAAAAAATAACTGGGAGGCCATTATGCTGAGACAGCTCCAGTGTTTAAAATTCCTACTTAAGCAAACAGAAACCCAACTTAGAGTAACTTAATCAATCAGAAACTACCATTTAACCTTTACTAGGGATTTTAAGGCTACTGTTCCACTTTAACCAAATTTTTTCTTTATCTTGCTTCTGTGTAAACCTTATGTTCAAGTTTATGAGAGGCCACTGTTTTGGTCTAGCCTCCTGCGCCAGGCCCCAGCACAAAAGGACAAAACAGAAAGGAGTCACTTGTGCTACGTGACATAATCAAACTGAACTTTGAAAGGGACCAATTTTGCAAAAAGAGGAGATTCACAGCAACCAGTCAGAAGGGTCCCAGTTTACCTGAGTTGGCATGACAAGGAAGTCCCCTCTGTGTTAACTCTATAAGGAAAATAACTTTGAAATGACCAGTCCACATTTTGTTCCCTGTTTCTGCTTTCTTCAGCCTTTTCTGCCTGTAAAGCCAAACTCCTCTGCTCCGATCATTGGAGCACTCATTCTATTTTATAGAATGAGGTTCTGTCCAATTCTAGAATTTCAAATAAAAGCTCATTAATTAGAACTTTAATCTATATTTGTTGTCATTTAGTCTTTTGACACTTATGATTTCCCCTTGCACCCGAACAGTTGGTGGAGCCTGAACTGCCGGCCATCTGGCACTGCCTGATTTATGAGTTGCTGTCTGCTCAAATAAAGTCTTCAAAATTTTAATGTGCCTCAGGTTATCTTTTAACAGTGCTGACTTCTGAACCCAAACCCTGACATAAGATGTGACTCTGCTAATGTCAGCTTCATTGTGACAAGATTGTCCAGGTTCCTACAGAGCGTCCTGGAAACTACAGAATCTGTGCAAGGCCGGGCCCTAGAAGGACAGAACCTGCAGTCGGAGTGTCTGTATGACTGTGTGTGTGCCAGGGGTGCAGGTAGTTAACTGGTAAAAGAGAACTGCGATACTCACTGCTGCAGACATCCCCTGCCTGGAAGAGCTCTGTGGTGAGTAGAACTAATCCATAGTAAGAAAATGCATTGGAAAACCTGCCAGGAGTAAGCAAAAAAGGTAAAGAGATGATCAGAGAGATGCAAGTTCCCTTTCCCCATTCCCTTAGGAAGAACCTGTGTCTCCAGCAGTGGGGAACAGTCTTTGGGCCACACTGGATCTTTGGGAGCTTTACTGGGGACCTTGAGCAGGAAGATGGCAGGTACAAAGCACTGTGATATGAGAAAGGGAAGTGATCCTGTGTCTTTTGAAAGATCAAGAACTATACGAGTATTATACCTCAGAGGCACAACCCCCAAGGCTCTCTACCTAACTGGTAATAGGGGAAGAAGGTTTTGGGGACGAAAATTTGAGAGAAAACAGTTCTGTTGACATCTGTCAGGACTTCTGGGTCAATTTGGTCAACTTGGATATATGATTTTAGAATTTCAGAGCAGAACGACAGTTTATTAATTCCAGACTGACCCAGGAACCAGAATACTCAAGTTTGCAGGGCCAGAACATTCTCATCCAGTGGAATAGTTATGTGGGAACTCAGTCATAATCAGAAGCTGATGATTAATTTCCTCAGGTTACAATCTGTGCTAGCAAATTTAGTGACTTCTCTAGTGTGCTAAAATTAGTCTCTAGGTAATTATTTCAGTATTCAAGTAGTATGGGCTCGACAGAATTATATGCATTCAAAGGTAGGTATTTTCAGTTCTGTCCCCCCACCACCCTCTTTTTAAAAATCCTGCAGACTCCACACTTGTACTGGGCACACAGCAGGTGTTTAATAAATGCTTGGTGAGTTGATTCAGCTCTTAGGAATGTGGGGGCAGAGCTGGAGCCCAGTTCTGTATATAATCAGAGCTTTTCTCTCCTCTTCCTTTTAATTGACCACCTTCACAACTCCCCTGCTAATTTGCACCTCTGTTCAGCGGTGAAAAGGAAAAGTGAGAACTGGTTAAAACAGAACACAAAGCCTTAAGCCCGGCCAGTTTTGCATACTGTTAATGCTGTGTACAAGAATTAGTAGAACGAGTTGAAAGAGTGGCTGAAATTTGATTCATTGCGGAGTTTAAAGTAATTACTGTCTGCAAATGAACCCCCTCCCATGGCTGTTGTTTAAGAAGTCAACAGGATCAGAACTGGAAGTTCTATGGATGCCCACATTGACCAAATCAGTGATTCTCAAAATATGTGCCATGTGCCACCCTGTGGTACCCAAGGCAACATGGGCAGAGAGGAAGACACTGATACAGTGTAAATATTAAATCTTATTGTAAAACAAAATTTCCTTTTAAGTGTCCTTCAATTCTTTTGATTATATCCCAGTCTCACTTATGTGCTAAGTGCTTAAGACCTCCCTTCTTTCTCAGTCTCTCTGACTTTTAAATAGAGTCTCATTGCCCCGGCAAAGCATCAATCTAGCTGTATTTGTTTTTAAGAGCACCTTCTATCACTGGCCTGCAATTAAGGTGTTTTCCTTTAAGGTAGAGATATAAAGTTTCTTTTTAAGAGATATTCATCTGAGTAAAAAGCCAGTCAAGTTAAAGAAAAAGATTCAGAAAATAATAATACAGGTAATAACCTGGATACATCAGAAATCAGCGAGGTGATGTTCAAACTACTGAAATTTGCAAATGCTGCCTGAAATCAAAGGGTTGTTGGTACATTGCTTTAAAACAAAAGCTAAAATTTAGCACAATGGAAGGGGGTCAGAGTAGTCAACAAACAGCTCTTACCATATAAACCACAGCAACAAAGTTGTCCATCTGAAGTGGGGTGTGAAAAGGTCCCTCATTTTGCCTCGGTCTTCCTGTTTGAAGACACAGACAAGCTGTTTATTCTTTCACTTCCAGATGTGCAGGCACCAGCTGGTGGCCTGACACTGGTGCACACCAGTGCTGGGAGGGAGGTTTCTGGTGGGCAGGACACTTGGGTTCTGTGAACCTGCGACTCAAATCCACAGTACTCAGCCTCCCTGCCTCTCCAGCTGGGACCCAACAACGTCCAGGGGCCTGATTCCCCAGGAGAGAACCACCCCATACCCTTCAATCTGGAAACCTGCAGTTGGCCAGCAGAGCCATCAGGCCTGGCTCCCTCAGGCCTCTTGGGAAGTCCCATGGACCAGGGAACAGAAAATCAGTCCAAGGGGTGTCCAACCATTCCACAAACACACCCTCCCCCAAAGTCAGGTCAAGGTGACAATTAACGTGTTGAAAAACTAATTCACCAAGGCTGGTTAGCCAAAAGATTGATTAGCTAAATGACCCACTTGCCAATTTTATCAATTTACAAATTTATCAAATCTTTGCTTTACACTGTTCCTTTAAAAATATATTCTAAGGGGCCGAGCCCGTGGTGCACTCGGGAGAGTGCGGCGCTGGGAGTGCAGCAGCGCTCCCGCCACGGGTTCGGATCCTATATAGGGATGGCTGGTACGCTCACAGCGCTCACTGGCTGAGCGCGGTGCGGCCAGTCTCAAAAAGGACAAAAAAAAAAAATCACTATTTTCCAAATAACTGGAATGATGGCATTAGCCAAAGAAATTTACACTGGGTGATACCTGCTAGCTGACCCACCTCTTCTATCTAAATCTGATGCTTTATTCCTATCATCTGTTCCCTATACCACACCTAGTCAGCTCCAACCTCCAAATTAATTAGTATCATGATCTGTATGGTCAAATCAGTTTTAATAATTAATCCTAATAGTTCAAGAGTGCTATATATACTCATTCTATTTATAAGAATAGATTATTGTATGTGAAAATTATAAAACAGAAAGTAACAGTAGTGGTCCAAACATCATACACACTGAACTGCCTAAAAGTATATACACACATATGTATATATTCTAAGACTACAATTACAGTCATGTGCTGCATAATGACGTTTTGGTCAATGACAGGCTGCATAAATGGCAGTGGCCCCATAAAATTATAATGGCTATACTATTTAGCCTTGGTGTGTAGTAGGCTATACTATATAGGTTTGTGTAAGTACACTCTATGATGTTACCACAATGACAAAATCATCTCATGACAAATTTCTCAGAATGTATCCCCATTGGTAAGCAATGCATGACTGTATTCTTCTTAGATATATTTAATGAACATATTCTTCTTAGATATATTTAATGAACATATTTTTTCCTAGCAGCAGTTTGAGAAATTCTCACTTACTTAAACATGCTAAAAGTAAAAAAAAAAAAAAAAAATTACAAGTCATGGGTGGTCTTGTCTGTCTATTAGTATTATCTTCATGGGGCCCACCCCGTGGCTCACTCGGGAGAGTGCGGTGCTAGGAGCACAGAGGCCGCAGTTCGGATCCTATATAGGAATGGCCGGTGCACTCACTGGCTGAGCGTGGTGCGGGCAGCACCAAGGCAAGGATTGCAATCCCCTTACCGGTCAAAAAATATATATATATATTATCTTCATGAATAAAAATATTTTTGTAATATATTCTTGAATGAGAAGGCAATATTAATTAAATATGTTTACTGAATATATTTGGGAAGGTTTATATTTATTGTTTATATTTTGGAATAGATTTATTTATATATTTAGGAATACATTCTTAATATATTTATAGAAATAATATGTTGATGAATAGTGTACTTATGTACACAGAATATACATATTTATATATAGATATATACCATAGTCTCTTGGTATCTACAAGGGATTGGTGCAAGGACGCCCCATGGATACCAAAATTCATGAATGCTCAAGTCCTGCAGTCAACCCCGTGGAACCCATTGATAGGAAAAGTGGGCTCTCCATATCCGTGGGTCCCACATCCTGAGAATACTGTATTTTGCGATCTGTGGTTGGTTGAATCTGTGGATGCGGAATCTGTGAATATGGAGGCTATGAGACACACCCCAAATTTACTTTGAGAACATAAACCACAGAAAACATATAAGTAGACCTGCGTAGTTCAATCCTGTGTTGTTCAAGGGTCAATTGGATTCCTAATAACTAAACATATTCAGAAAGAATAATCCTTAGAACACCTTTTTGATAAATCAATACATTTGGCAAATTAATTCAGAAAAATTGGCTTTGGGAGACTTGTATGCTTCCAGAAAGCCCTACTCTCCTCTTCTTTCTTGGCTCAGGATTCGCCACCTCCTTGGAGCCTTCCTGGACCACCTTATGGGAAGTGAGCTTTCTCTAAGGGCACTGCTGCTCTGGGCTGCAAGGGCTGCAATGCAGTGGGCCTGCCCCAGCTGGCCTTTCTGCTGCCACAAGGGAATCATGACCCCCAGCAAATAAATGAAACCTGTTGCCTGGTACCCTGGAACATGGAGAGAGGCCCCCAGGCAGCAGTCCCTTTCCAAAGTGACACCCACAACTGGAGCTTCCACCCTTGCAACTTTCACCTTGGGACACATATTTGAAACCACTGTGTGCATTCTCCATTTAGAGCATCTTCATGTAGTGGATGAGTCTCACCCCAAATGCAACCAAATGGGCCTCCTGTACCCCGGGCTGTTTGGGACACCTCCCTGTCCCACCCCTATGATTCTGAAAGTGGATTTGGGGGATATCTCATAGCCTCTGTGTTGTCAGACCATGCCAAACAACTCCAGATCTGGTAAAATTCCATTCAGTTCTTCCTGTGTAATATAGAAACAATCAGAAATATAATTTTATTTATTTATTTATTTTTGGCAGCTGGCTGATGCAGGGATCCGAACCTGTGACCTTGTTGTTATAAGGCTATGCTCTAACCAACTGAACTAATCGGCCAGCCTAGAATTTTATTTTACAGGATCATTTCCTTATAGGGTCTGTTGTCTGCTTAAGGGTATTAGTCATGCTTCTCCAATGTGCTTGCGTGATTCTTGAGGGCAGGGACTGCAGCCTTAAATCTGTACCCTTCTTCCCAGTGTACAGTACAAGTGCCTACATGTAGTAGGTGCTCATAAAGTTTCACTTCGGCGGATTCCCTGATGGTGTCACCAGGGAACTGGTGCACCATCCATTAAGGACGTCTATGCAGGGTGCAGTTTGACTCCCTGGATCTAAACACCTCACTGTCTAATGTGGTTTTCTTGCATAGCTTTTGCCAGTCAATTGCATTTGCTAATCAGACTTCATTGGTGCTGAAAGGTGAAACTGTAGGTATAGTTACAGAACCCATTAGCAGAGATTACATTTATCTGAATTTATGAGAATTTAGTCACTGGCTAAATCCTCTAGGTAGCATTTTTAGAACCTGGCAGTGCAAATACAGGTTGGAGTTGCCAAATTCTCCTTGCAGGTTCTGCCCACCGTGCCCCCACGTGCTCTATGTACACACGTGCGCACATACACATGCACGCACATGCACACATGCCCCACCCTGGGTACACACGCTCACCCATGTGTGTATCCACACACTTGCATGCCCTACCCCATGTGTGTATCCACACACTTGCATGCCCTATCCCATATGTACACACAGGCTCCCCTGAACGCACACCAATACACATGCCACAGACTCAGCTGGTCCAGGCACTTACCTGTCTGGAGATAATGAGTTTCCCCAGTGGCATGGGGGCTCCGTTTTCTGTTGCTATCCTCTTTAAAGTGGCAATTGCCTTTTCCTGGTTCCCCGACAGCACATCGTACCTTGCACTCTCTGGCAACCACTAGGGGGACAGGAGATCGAGGCATGCTGGTTAGGGAAGAACAGAACATTCACTTCCAGCCACATCCTTCTTTCTGTGTAGAGTCTTTAAGGGTGGGGGATCTGGAGCCAGAGATCTGGCTTCAAATCCTGACTATGCCATTTGTGATATTGGTTGTGGGACCTTGTGCAATTTTTTGACCTCTCTGTGCCTCCACTTCCTCATCCATAAAATGGGAAGAGTAATAGATCCTATCTTAAGGTTGAGAGGATTAAATGGGATAATTCAGGCAAAGTGCTTAGCACAATGCCTGGTATGGGTTAATGTAATTATTATTGTCACTGCTGCCATTACTATTACTTGGTGCTGCTTTCAGAGTTCTAGGTGAGTGTTGAATTAAATTAAGATTACCATCAGAAATCTCATCCTCATCTGTGTTCAGCATCATCTTGCAAGCTCAGTCCAAGAGAGAGAGAAAGAAATCAGAAAGATCTTTAGGCCTAATAGGGTACCAACCCTAAGTGACTAGATAAATACATTTCTGTAAAAATAAAGCAACAGCTATCTGTGAAACAGCAGCTGTAGTAGAGAAAGCATGAGACTAGAAGTCAGAAGATCCGGTTCAAATTAGAGTTCTGTTGTTTATTTGCTGTATGCCCTTTGACAAGTCAATCAGCCTCTTTGGGCCTCAGTTTTCCTCTCCAGTAAAATGGGGGTGTAGCAGAGATTGCCAATGTCCACTAAAATTCGTGCTTCCATTCCCATAATGTAGAGTTGCATTTGGATGTGGCTACACAACTAGGGACTACATTTCCCAGCACCTCTTGCAGCTAGGTGAGCCCATGTGACTCACTTTCACCAATGGCATATGAGCAGACTATTCCTGGCTAAGGTATTTTAAAAGTGAGTGTGCAGTCTCCACCTGCTCGTCCCCAGTCTGTGGTCTGCATGTAGAAGATTCCAAAGCCCTAGAGGATGGCAGAGCCAGAAACTGGAAAAAAATCTGGACCCAGAATCTTACTTGTCAACCAGAATGCTCATTCTCAACTGTTATATTAGTGAGAAATAAACTCTTATTGTGTTAATTTACTGAGTCTATGGTCTTTATTTGTTACAGTAGATGATGTCATCCGAACCCTTGACCTTGGTGTTACAAGGCCACAGTCTAACCAACTGAGCTAACTGGCCAGCCCATATTGCAGTATTAACCATTGGTGAGACCTAAGGCTTATTTGGGGGCAGTACTGGCTATAAAGTGTTTCATGGGTGTGGTGTACACATGAAATGATAAGTGTGTGGCATGATCTCACTAGGGGGTACCGTTTATGCAGAGCTGAGATGGAGAGATCATTTGAGCTCCCGGACCCAGCCACGCCTGAAGCCAGCTATTTATCCCCTGTAATATGTCTATTCCTCTCTTTCACTCATGCCAGTTTGAACTGGGTTTCTATCACTTGCAACTTAAGAGTTCCAACTAATCTAAAACAGTCACTTTAAATGCAGATCTTGCAACGATAGGGTCATTGTATCCCCCATCCCCAGCTATCTCCCTAGAGAACATTCCAGAAGTGCCTGTCTAAAGGAAATCTAACCCCCCATACTAAAGTTACCCCAGGCTTCGTTCCTTGTCTCATTTCCTGATTCAAAAAAATTATCTTTTATTTGGTGTCTTCCTCCAACCCCTCCCCATCCAGATACAGTAGACAGTGGGGTGCCAGGTAGCAAAAGCTGAGATCTCTTAAAGGATACCTACGAAACACAGAACGGCAAAGAGGAGCAGCGGGACAGCCGAGAGGATGAGCAGCCAACGCCAGCCCAGGCTGGGCATCACGAACACAGCCAGGATGACCTCGAACACTGTGCCGATGGCCCAGAAGATCTGGCACAGGAGAATCGGGGTCAGCGGTGGGGGTAGCATGGTCCACACAGCGAGCAATGACAGGGTCATTGTGGACCAGAGTATCGATATGGGTAAGGGGTCACTGGGGTCAGCCAGGTCAGAAGGGCCACCCTTTCCCATGGTCTGTAGATTGGGCCAGGGCTGCCATGTTGTCCATCTCCCATGGGTACCATCCACAATGTATAATATTTGCATGGTGCCCGCCAGGCCTGTGCAATGTGGCAGCTCTGGTTAAGAAGAGCAATACGATCAATATCATGTGATGTCAGTATGGTAGTGAAGACATTGGGGGTTTTGTTTGTTTTTATCTTTTTTTTTTGTAGTAAAATATACATAACCTAAAATGTATCAGCTTAATCATTCTTAAGTGTACAGTTCAGTGGTATTAAGTACATTCATAATGTTGTGCAACCGTCACCCCATCCATCCCCATCCATCTTGCAAAACAGAAACTCTATAACTATTAAACACTAACTCCCCATTTCTCCCTCCTACCAGCCCCTGGCAACCACAATTCTATTTTCTGTCTCTATGATTTTGACTACTCTAACTACTTCATACAAGTAGAATCATATGGTAGTTGACTGGCTTATTTCACTTAGTGTAGAGTCCTCAAGCTTCGTCCATATGATAGCATGTGTCAGAATTTCCTTCCTTTTTAAGGCTGGGTAATACTCCATTGTATGGCTAGACCACATTTTGCTTACCCATGTTGATGGCCATTTGGGTCGTCTCCATGTCTTAGCTATTGTGAATGCTGCTGCTATGAACATCACTGTACAAAGGGACACACTGGTTTTTGTCTACTGACATCCATCTCCCTTGCCCAGTGGGGTCCCGGTATTCTTTATCAAAATTGCCTCTTCCTTATGGGGCCGAATATCTTCTGTGTACTGCACTGAGTTCTCTCCATTCTTTTCCACCTTTCTATGCATTCCATCAATGGCTCCCTGTCCTTTGGCTTCCCACTGGTGCAGCCAATGGGGAGCCCTGTAGGAGATGGGAGGGAGGGAGGAGAGAGATTGGGGCATTTATTCCCCTGGTTCACTCCCTGCAGGGTGGCCCTGGGCTGGCTGCATCCCTCAGCTGAAGGTCATAGCTCCTGTCCAACAGCCTTCATCATACAACTCTCTGGGCTGCTGACTCTTGCCCTTTGCTCGTGGGGTGGTAAGACCCCTGAGGAACGTTATAAATAGTCCCTTTATTAAACCCTCTTCAAATGCTCCTAAGTTGAGTATGCTTTTCCTGCTGGAACCCTGGCTCTGCAAGTATTGTCCATTCCATAATCTGGTCTTCCAGCCTCCCTATCAGTTCTGGAGCCCCCAAGAGCCTTCATACATCACCTTTTGTTTAAACAAAACAGTCTATTACTGTTGCTTACAGTCAAAATATCTAACAACTGCTACCGCCAGGGCACCAACCAATCAGAATAGACACCCCCATCCCCACCCCCACTGTGCCAGGAATTAACTCTTTAGTTGCCGGATCATGGGAAGTTCTGGGAGGTCCTAAGAGAGAACAGGTTGTTAGGCACAGAGGGGCAATCAGGGTTCAAGATCAGCTGGCCAGATGCATTTCAATATTTAAACAACTGATTCATCCACACCGGTGTGGGCCAGCTGACCATCCTAATTGGTCAGGAGTGGATGCATTCAGGACAGCTAAGTTGGGCTGTGGGGTCAACGTGATGAATATTGTCAGTGTGGTCACAGTGACTGGGGATGTCAGAGTGGCTTCAGAGTTCTCACTATGGACATGTGTATCCAGCAGGGGCAAATAAGCCATTCTGTCACTGCATGGAGGAGGGGCCTTGAGCAGTTGCATGAGGAGAGGGACAGGGGCATTGGGCCACTGGGTTTGCCCTGAGATCTTCCAGATCGTGGTTGGAAAATGGGTCACAAGGACTTGAGAGGGACTGGCTAGACCATGAGCATTTCAAGGTGGCCTATAGGGCACATAAGTGGCCAGGAATGGAGATGGCACACAAGAGGTAGAGAGGGTGATGATATGGGTAGGGGCAGGAGTTCGTTCCACTCAAGCTGTACTGTTCCGCACCAACTCTTTTATCTGCCATTTCCAGTTCAAGAAGGATGTACCACCTGCCTGCCACCATTTTTTAAAAGAGATGATGGATTGAATTTTCTTGTCAAAGAATTTATCTATATTGCAAAACAGCCATGTCAGAATCGACATAACCGATCCATCTAAGTCATTGTATCTTGAGTCTGTTGTATTTTTATTAAACTCCCCTTTCTAGTCCTGTGGCTCAAGACATCTGAGAGCCTCCTGCCAGGATCAGCATTCTCTAGAGACTCAGGCCACTCTCCTTACCTCAATCAGCAGAATACACTTAGCTCTGGCTTTCATGGGAAGGAACTCAGCATACAGCGTCACCCTGGGAAAAAGAGACAGAAAGGGGGTTAAGGTCAGGACTGGGCGAGAAAATTGCTACAGTTTCCTGGATTTCTAGGCCCATGTTCCTCCAAGGGTGGTCAGTGGACCATTTACATCAGAGTATCCTGGGATGATGGCTAAATACATAAATCCCCAGGCTACCCCCTGACCTTCCATAACAGACTCTCAGGGATGGGGCCTGAGCATCTGCATTTTTAACTAACTCCCCAAATGGTTCTCAAATTTCATAAATGTTGCCATTGAGTCCTGCCACAACCCAGCAAGTCTAGGGGAAAATAGGGTAGTGGGATTATAGGCAACTTCAATCTAGAACAGTCCCTCAGGCCTTCCCTGTCCCTCATGTTCTTAGTTCTCAGTGTTAACGAACACAGGCCTTTCCTTCTGCAGGATGCCCCTCATCCTGGGTCTATCTTACGTCTCCCTGTGACTGGACTCAGGCTTTGTGGTGCAGGAACACCACAGAAATGATGCTGAGCTCTTCTCGGCATGTCACATCAGGGTCAAGTGATGTGAACATATCTCGTCACTGGTGATATTAATCTACACCACCATAAGTTGGTGTCTGACAGATTTCTCCACCCTAAAGTTATCATTTTTCCATTTGTGATTAATAAGTACCTTGTGGGGAAATATTCAGAGATTATGCCAATAATCCAAGCTTTAGCCATTGACTGTTTCTGCCTAAACTAACTGCCACCATGATGGTAACAATAGTGTCGTTTATTTCTATTATTAATTCTACATTTATTCTTCAACATTCTTCTATAAGGAATAGCTTTCCATCCTCTTCTTTATCTACCTAATGTATATCTATCTATCCATCCATCCGTTTAATCAGTGTGGACTTGCGGATTCCTACTTTATTCAGTGCATTGTAACCCATTATTATTTTGATGCTCAGGCTGTCCAGACCTGGCCAGTGGGATCCCTTCAAGTAGATTCCTGTTGTCTTTTTGACATGTCTCCATCATTCCTTGAGCTCTTCCTTACTTTCTGGCATGACAAAATGTCTATCTCATCTTGTACTTTCCTTGCCCCAGCCCTGGAGTCAGTCATTTTTCTTTTTATTTTTTTTGTCCTTTTTGTGACCGGTAAGGGGATCAACCCTTGGCTTGGTGTCGCCCGCACCACGCTCAGCCAGTGAGCGCATTGGCCATCCCTATATAGGATCCGAACCCGCGGCGGGAGTGCCATTGTGCTCCCAGCGCCGCACTCTCTCGAGTGCGCCACGGGGCCGGCCCGAGTTAGTCATTTTTCTAAGAAACCTGGGTTCCCTTTGGCAGAGGACAGTATTTAGAAACCAGGATCTGTGTGTTCAGTGTGCTTATTGCACGTGGAGTGTTACTGTTCTAACTCCTCTCAGTGGACAGAAGGCCCACTCCCTTGCCTCAGGGTGGGACAGACACCTCCTGAGCTCCCCATGTGATCAGGGTGAGTCCAGACTTCCCCTGAAACCACATCTTTGCTTAATTTCTTCCTTTTGTCTTTCTTGTTTCTTTCACTCTTTTACAGGTTTCTCCTGAGAACACTCCTTCAATCAATCACTTGTATGAGAATCTCTGCCTGAGGCTCTGCTTCTATGGAGCCCAACCTATGACACCTTTCCCTGCAGAGAATCTAATTTAAAAGTGGGCCTCAGCAATACCACTGAGATTAAGACACAGGTCTATCACCAGTAAAAGTTCTTCTTAGGGTTCTGATCAAAGGCACCTCTTTTCAGAGCAGGAATAATTCTCAGGAGCCACAGAGGAAAGGCTAAGGCTTCTGTAGTTCAGATAGACTCTCTTTAGAGAAGAGTTTAAAGGGAAAGTAAATGCCATCTAGTCTCACTTCACAGTGTATTTTAGTATATTCCCTCTTTCTGTCTTGGTCTCTCTCTTTCTCTCTCAATCTCTCTCTCTGTTTCAAACCCCAGCTGAGATCATACTCAAGGATTTTGGTTTTTTAAATTTGTTTTTCTATGTTTTTTTTTTTTTTTAATTTATACTGAAGAGTTTTGAACCGTATTATTAATTTGATTTGTAAATGAACAGTTCCATGCCACTTTAGACCTCTTACACATATATTCTATGACATGTGTGAACCATACTTTCCTTAACAACAGCTACCTTTTATTGAGGATCTACTTTGTGCCAAACACTATCCTAGATGTTTCACATGAATTATCTTACTCAATAAGCATTGCAATAAAAATAAAATTAAATAAATTTTTTAAAAAATTGCAAGTCAGTGGGGTAGGTAATTATAATTCTCACTGTGTATTTTTAATCTCTATTGTCTTGTCTATATCTGTCTACATCTGAGAAGTTCTTACTTGACCAGGATTGCACAGCCCCCAGGTTAGTAAGTAGAAGAGCCAAAATTTTAACCTAGGTATGTCTGTATTACGCAGCCCATCAATCACTTCCCTATTTGGATGGTTGCAGTTGTAAACAACATTTCCATTAAACATCTGTAGGCTGAAATCTTTGTCTTTACATAGTTTCCTTGGGGTAGATTCCCCTAAGTAGAATTGGAGTCAGAGGGTATGCTTGTTTTTATGACTTGATACATACTACCATTCCCCCAAAAAGTTGTTCTAATTTATATTCCTACCAGTACCTCTCTCAACAAAACCCATGAGGAATTTCATTAACTAAGCTCCAAGAATGAGGACCAAGATTACAGAGGTTGCTAAAGATTGCAATGATTATCATGGATGACTTCTTTAAATTTTCATTCCATTTTCCAAATGGTGTGCTTACATTATTTTAAAAAATCAACAATAATACTAAAATGAGAAGAATGTTTACCTTTCTCCCACCAAAGTCCAACTACCAACCGTTCAAAAATGTACAGCAGTATATTCTAAGGGCAAAGCTATCCCTGTCCTTAGATGTCAAAAATTTTTTTTTTTTTTTTTTGTCTTTTGTCTTTTTCCGTGTCCGGCAACGGATCGCAACCCTCAGTGTTGCCCCCGTACTGGACCGGGGACCGGCAACAGGATCGCAACCCTTGGTGTTGCTCCCGCGCCTTGCTCAGCCAGTGAGCGGGAACCGGTCTGTATGTGGGATCCGAACCCTCGGGCGGGAGCGCCGCCGCGCTTCCCAAGCGGCGCACTTATCCAGTGCGCCACCGGGCCGGCCCGATGTCAAAAATTTGTTTCTGTAATTAACCTATAACCTATAGCATAAAGCCTTTTTATTCCTTTTAATTTTTTAGTTATAGGATAGTACATGAATGCATTCTCATTGTAAAGCAATTTAGCAATACATAAGTATACAGAGTACATATGATGATCTTTCCTCTTCCCCATGACCCTACTTCCATTTTCCTCCCCCAAAGCCGTAACTACCAGCAATTTGCTTTGCGACCATCCAGCCCCTTCTCTATGTAAACAAACAAACAAATAAACAAACAAATTTAAGCAACATGCTTTTTTTCTTGCTTTTTCCTTTCCCTTTCTGTCCTTTTTCTTTTCCTTTCCCCCTTCTTCTTTCTCCCTTCCTTTTCCTCCCACCCTCATTTCCTTCCTTTTCTTTTTTATCACATGCAGCATACTGTCAGTGTTCCACCCATACAAACCCCCACTGTTAGCACTGCCGTGCCCTCCAGCCCAACTCCCAACTGCCAATACCTGAAACTTTCCTGAGGGCCTTCTCTGGTCACTAAAGTTTGCTTTGCCAAACCGTGTAGCAGGCCAGAATACCAAATAATTTAAATTCCCAGCAGCAACCCTCAGCAAATGGCAGTTCCTTTATCCCTTGAGTGGGACATTTTACACTATGCGCTGCAGAGTCTCCCAGAGTCAACTACTGGCTCTTGAATCTCTGTGTCAGGATCTGCTTTTCAATAAGACGATTTGGAAGTCTTTCCATATTAATATAGATACATCTACTGCGTTATTTTTAACAGCTGCATAGTCTTCCTCATTGTGGTTGTATCATTTATTCACCCAGTCCCTGTAGATTAATACTCAGGTTGTTTTTATTTTCTTGTTGTTTCAACCTATGCCACAACAAGTCTCTTTTCCTGTAATTGTTGTGCCCCACATTTGGCCATTATTTATAGCAGTTCATAATGAAAATGAGCTGCTTGATCTTCATCCAAAGTATGGTGATGATTATAATCACACTGAAAAAAACAAAAGAATGAGCAATGAAATTAGCAATGCCAAGAAGCAGCTGATTCTGGCATAAATAAATTCCCACTGCAAATAATCGCATTTACAGCACCAGGCAATTAGAGATTTGCCATTTGGATCACATGCTTGGAAAGAAATGACCTGTGATCTCAATTTGGCATCTCTGCTCAGTCTTTGGAGGAAAGAGCAGTTTCAAGGATGGGTTTGTGAGTAAGCTTATTGTAGACAAAAAATGTGAAGAACGTTCTGAGGCAGATTCCAAGGTAGAATAGGTAAGCAGAATAGGTAAGCAGCTGCCTGGGGTATTAATCTCTAAGAGCAGCTAAGACAGTAGGGTGCCAGTGAGCACAGGTTTTCCATCTCAGCCACTGCTGTACGTGGTCCTCTGTTCAAGTACACAGCACCCTCTCCTGGCAATAAAAAACCGTCAGCCCACGTGCCAATCTGTATCTTGTGTATTTTCGTGAGATTCGTGCAATTAGAGGTGAGTATCATTTTTTGGTGCTTATTTGCATTTTCTAAAGTTTCTAAAACAAAAATGTATTGTTTGTAATAATAAAAATAAAATGATATGCTTGAATTCAAGTGACTTCCTTCGTGATGCTCCTCCACAGACAAAGTGTGATTATTTGGCATCTTAAATGTGTGATTCCTCTTACCTGCCTTAAAGGGAAGAGAAACCTAAGAACCATCAGCTCTACATTTCCAGAATCATCTCCAAATCAGTATCAGGGACCCAGTGAACAAATGAATGATTTACCAGGGTCTTCTGACTATACACGTGCAGAACCCTTTCGAAATAATTGTTTAACACTGAATCATCTCCAAATCAGTATCAGGGACCCAGTGAACATGAA